CGCCTTAATATTTCAGGTCATTTTAACAAAAAATGAGGAACCCTTCATAAGGAGGGTCGTATCTAGCCCGCATTTTTCGACAGAGCTGTGCGGAGATTCCCGAGAACAGCATACCCTGCTTCTTAAAAGTGTTAAAAGTATTACTCACTGCAAAGCCAGCTCCATTTTCTTTCTGTTCTTCACCATTCTGATTCAGTCGCATCAAAATGCTCGGTTCGCCGTTGGTGTTATTTCGATTCCGAGAGTAAAAGCCTGAATAGTGAAGTACAAATGTGCATACCATGCTGACAGTGTAGGCGGAGTCAGGCCAACCGTTCCGCCCTGCTCATTGTTATGCTCCCTTCCAGAAAAAAGGTGCCAGTGATGTGCAATTAGCGTGAGCTATACCTTTGACTATAGGACTAGCGTCGAGCTATCGTATTCACTCAATTTCACTAAAGCGTTTTGAAAGGTAGATATCATTATGTAAATTTGGGCGCTGATGACTTTTGGCTGGACTTTTGGCTGCCTGTAAGCGCTTGGTAATGTGTGCACGACGCCTTTTTCTCGTTTGCCTTTTCAGAGCCGTGTCTCACCCTGCAATTCCTGTCATGTAGTAAATGGTACTAGCTTGATTGGAATGCTATCTCTCCTTCTTTTCCGGACCTTGACCAGTCATTTTAACAAGTTAGACAGAAATTGACGGAGTGCTTGACAGATGATAACAAGGCTCACAAGATGGAGACAAGGTTGTCCGGTATTAACATGTATGAGTTTGCAGGATTTGGTATGCTGACAAGCACTTACATGTGTGCCCCCCCCCCAAGGTTGTTATCGCCTGATTGATTCTGAAAACTTACAGCCTACATGGTACTGTGTATTTCCCAGTATTTTCCCATTGGGTTTCATAATTAATTGACAATAGCAACTTTAAACTCGAAATCTGCAGTTAACTGACTCTTCGGTGGTGACTTGCTGGAATCCGGTAGAACTGCAACGTGTGTGAAGAACAGTTTTCGTATCGGCGGCACTTCATGCTTGTTCAGGCTGAAATCGAGTAATCAAAATCATCGGAAAAAAATGGGAAAAGCCATGGACTCGATATTCACTTGGAAATGTAAAAACGATTCAGGGAGCTATAGGTGTCCCTGTTAAAGAAGCCGAAATATACCAGAAGAAAAAGTGCTTTTATCGGTCATGAGATCCGCAGTGCGGCAGCGCTGCGCTGCAGGGAGCGTGGAGTCAACAGCAGTCGCAACTGAACTTATCTGTTTCGTAGCAAAAGTACCACGTAAAGTCAAGTCAGCTAGCTACAGTCTCAGTCGCTGCGGATGCTGGGGCGTTTCAGGGAATGGGGCTGGAAACCCAAATTCCCCAGTTCTTGTCGCTTGCCCCTTCAACAACTGGTGGGGAACAGGCTGGCGCCGCGCTCAACCCGACTTCCTGACACTTCTAGCATCCGTAGCGAACACAAGACCATGATAACTAACGCAAAGGCAAAACAGTTTCTGCGCGTTGCATCAAATTTCCCGTGCCATCCCCCGCATCTGGTAGGACAAGGCTACGGAAATCTTGAAATTTTCAATACTTCAACACCCTGTATGAAAAAATATAACTACAGAAAGCGACCTAGATTTCATAAGACCTAGATCTGCTCACCGTTTAAATGCCATAAACTGGACAATAATTTCATTCGTATTTAGTCCGTCGTTGATCTCGACAGCTCTACTGGGAAGAGTTGTTGATGTGACGTCCACCATCACTGGTGGATCACCTTCACGATCGAATATTCCAGGAAACTGTAAAACACTCACCACATTTGGTTACAATAGCGAAAAAAACTTGTAATTAGCCAAGGCTTGGTGATATCACAATGCGTGCTTAACGTACCTGCACATTTGAAAGAGCAGCGTAAACGGATCGTGGTACGTTGGAAACCCTGAAAATTGAGATGAAGATTAAAAAGTCATGACGCAGAGACTGAAGACTCCCCTTTGACCACTATTTTCAAAAGCTTTCAATCTTTGTGGATTAGATAAAAAGACACGGCGGCCATTATCCATTGTGCAACATTTCAGGATAAGTTTCGATTAAAATTCATTTTCTTTCGAGTAAGCTCGCCCAAGCTTATGCTCGCCAGCAGCGGCTAGTCTTGACACTTAATACGCAATCTTTTGTGCCCGTTTCATGCGGAATTGCTGGCGTCGAGGTCACAAGCACTTTCTGTTGATGGCCTACAAAACCAATGGACAATAATTCTGCGTCAGCATCAGTAAGAGAAGAGTTTCGGGCGCTGTTATGGCTTGGGCAGGACATCTTGCACGTGTCTTTTCTTGCTTCTTTTGCTAGTTCATGTTAAAGAGTTCTCATTCTGATGAGATGTGAAATTTTGTGAAGCTGCGAAATTGTACAAGTGAGCACATTAGCGAGTACAATTCACAGAACTTCACAATGTAACCTGTACAAGTTTCCGTGAGTTCTACTCGGTGCCCACACCAAGCCGAACTGCGCCATAGTTCGATCCAAGTTCGGCAAGGATTCAGAACAGTGGGCAGTGCACGGTAAATCGTGTCCACATGACTTAGACCTATCGTTGCGCTCCTGGCTTTGGAGGGGTCTATAAATCGGAGTAGATAGTAAAATTTCTACCTGGCTTCTTTAAGAGGCAATGCATAGCTGATAGGAAGATTTTGACGTGGTGATTCCTGCTCGATGACGCGGTCAATCTTCTGGTGAAGAATCGGAGTCGTGATCGGTGTCGGTTTCTTGAAAACGAACAAGAAATAGTTGCTATCCATAATGTATATCTATCGCTAGCACAGTCAGTGCTACTGTTGTTGAGGTGGGGGCACGTGGTGGCTACAATCGTTCCTCTAGGCTCCCAGAACAGGGTCCACGATAGCCTTCAAAGCCTGATAGTTCCGAGGAAAACGGTTCACTATCTCTATGAGAGAGCACAGAGCGGGCAGGGTGAGGAAGGCACAGTGGCAGGCCTAACTAGGCCCCTGCTATGATGTGCATCTTTGTGAACCTACCCCCCCCCCTATTCAGACTCCTACTCTTTGAACTAGCTGCTCGTGCCCCTCCCAATAGCAGTTTTATCTCACTACTAATTGTTTCCAACCGCCTCTCAAAAGCTTGAACTGAATTTCTTGAGAGTTGTCACCTTTATAACGCTGATGACGCTAAGCTGGCCAAGTTCATAGGGCCAAGCTACTCCAAAGAGCAAACTTCAAAATTAACTGTTCCCAAGTTTCAAAAAATGAGGGTGCAAAGAAGAATCAGCGTCAACACATCTAGGTTATTGCAACTGTTTAACTTTTCTCGCAGAAGAAAGCAACAGCATTCCTTTTCTCGTTGGATGACTCCTCATTGAAAACTGCAGAGAGGAAGGGCGCGCCAGTGAGGGAGACACATAGATGGGCCGACTCCGCCCATAATTCCAGCGTGGACTATGCTGAACACAACCTCAATTTGTTCAGTTTCTTGGCAGATCCGTATACATGGCAACGAAGGGAAATATGCAGGGCTCACTGTGCAAACAGCCATTACCTCCAGGAGGATGCAAGTAGAGCACTCAATACTGGCTCACCTACACAGAAGCTCCTACCCCCTCCTCCACCCCTCCCCCCCCCCCCAATGACTTTGGCTACAAACGTCCGCCCCAGTAATCGTGCGCACTTCATTTGAGGCTTCACAATGAGCTCAATTTTGCACAAGGTGTTTTTTGAATGCCCCGCCCCCTCACCTCAAGCCCACTCGTGCCATTAATTAACTCTAGTCTTAGTTGGTATAATAGCATAAAACTAACCTTTTTGATTATAGGCGGCAGCACTTCTTCTTGGTCTGTCAGGGCTGTATCCGAGTCCTCCCTTCGCGCCTCTTTCCGCGATTCTTTCCGTTGTGATGATCTTTCTGTCTCACCGTCCACACGGTCCGCAGGAACAACATCAGCGATTTCTTTTCTCGTTGGCGCCGGGGTTTCATGCAGTGAATCACCCAACTGCGTGGTGGACCGTGAGAGTGAACCGTACTGGCGCTGTTAATTATTCCATACAGTACTCTCTTCTCAGCTCAACTTTGTCAGTACCCTAGCACTTACCGTATCATCCAGCGCGAAATTGAATTGAATGGTAATTTTCGGTGCGCTCTCTGTGAATATACTGTCATCCCTACGATAAAGATGCAACAGATTTCTGAAGCACAGACACTCTTCAGGATTGGGACGAGGGCCGCCGATGAGTGACACTGAAAAGTTATGTTGCTGGTCAGCAATGCAAAGAAATAGGGGGGGGGGGCAGATCGGCTTGATGAGGGCATTTTGCACTTTCGCTACTTCCCAACAACGTGTTCATAGCTTTACAATAATGAACAGGTGGTCCCTACCAAAGTTGGCAGGTATCACTTTGTAAGTTCACTGAGACTGTACAAAGGCAATCATCCGTTCTTTTCGCTTAAGATTACGAAGCAAAGAATTAATAGAGGAAAGAGAACCAACAGATGCAAGAAAGGAATTACATATAATAGCGTCATAGAAGAAATCACCAACAGTACAGAAACACTGAAGCCTATACAATACTTCAGACTACTTAAGAGCCTTCGTAAGGAAGAAATCAACAAGATCATTAAACTCTCGATGTCTGTGAATTTTCTACAGACCGTAAACAACAAAACAAAATATTTGATATTTTGCTTGTTAGCTTACTTTCACCATGGTTCAGTCATCGAAGAAAAACCCAGAAAGAATTTTCATAACATTGAAGTCAGCTTTAGAAGCAGAATATTTAACGAGATACACTTCAACAGAATTTTTAATTCACGCACTGTCAAAGAAATATTGCTTAATGGGAATGATTGTAACTTCACACCTATCAGAATAATTTATAAGTATAATAACACAATGGCGACCAGAATATGCAATTATAACAAATTGTTAAAGAATCTCGACAACGAAAAATTGAAGCGGATAATCACTAGTGACTGTATCTGTGATTCTGAAGATGTGCAGAAATATATTGACAGCAAGCATGGGCACATTATTACAGGCAATATGAATCTAATAAAAGAAAGAAAGTTCAGGAAACTTATGATGAAAGGAACGAAATATAGGATAGACACAGGAATAACAAGGAAAGAAGTCAAAACGATTTATGAGGCTACACTTAATAAAGTTGTCAATTATTTTAAGTACAAATATAAACTTAACAGTCACAAAGTTAACCTACTTCAACAGCATCTACGTTCGTGTTACCATAGTAAAGTCAAACCGCTGCTCACTAGGAATAATATCATCAGTATAGGAGAGCAAGTACCTTACGACTTGATCAAACAATATCAGGACAACTATATTTTTTGCCCTCTGGACAAAGCTAGTAACAACTAAATGAATTATTATATGTAAACGGAATTATATGTAAAAAATTCTACTTAGTCAACTTGATGAAGGAAATGGGAATAAGCTATGACGCTGCTAATGGCACATTCGCATATGGAGACAGTAACAACACGTATGAATTTGTGAGGTCGGGTAACAAATATCCGATGATACTGAAGCACAAGTTCTTCTGTGTAAGGAACAATCTCAATATAGAAGTTGATTCAGATCTACCAACTATATATGCTCTGCCTAAACTGCATAAGGATCCGATCAAGTTCAGATATATTACTGGCGCACATAGCAGTAGCATCAAACCTCTAGCCAAAGAACTACATGTTATTTTCAAACATTTCAAAAACCATTTCATAAACTATGCAAAAGTGATGCAAAACCGAAACAGAACGATTAAGACTTACTGGTCGATAGACAACATCAATATAAGTCAGGAGCTGACTAATATTGCCTACGGCAATGTTAAAATATATACTGCCGATTTCACTGACATGTTTACAAACTTGGAACATAGCCTCATTATCAGGAATATGCAACAGCTTATGAGCATCTGCTTCAAAAATGCCAATAAGGCGTTCATTGCTAGTAATGGTTACCATGTTTTTTACTCAGACGGTAGAGCAAATAAAAGCAACTACAGATACTACAAAGCTACCGACTTAATATATCTTATCGATTACTTATTGCGCAACAGTTTTTGTATTTTTGCTGGTAACATATTCAATCAGACTAAAGGTGTTCCACAGGGGGGCAACTTCAGCCCGCTGTTGGCAGACCTTACGCTGTCAATCATGGAATATAATTATGCAAAGTGCAATAGATTCAATGCTAGTAAGTTGCTCATTCCATACAGATATATGGATGATCTCCTAGTCATACATAACCAGTCTGAAAATGAAGTCGATGAACAACTCGCGGAGGTCTATAGAAATACCCTCCAGTTGAAGAAGACACACACAACTGAGCTATACAGTAATTATTTGGACTTAACCATCAATATAGTAAACGGCCAAATTACTACTGGTTTATATAATAAAACAGATGACTTTAACTTTAAAGTGATTAGATTCCCACACAGTGATTCAAATATCTCCACTAACAATAAGGCTTCCGTTATATACACAGAAACCCTTAGGATAGCCAACACCTGTACTTGCTTTGATACGTTTATTGGAAGAATATCGGATATGGTAAGAATGCTTTATAGCAGTGGTTACAGTGAGGACTTCATTATAGCTAGTATAGTGAAGAGTATTTATAGAAATAAACTTATATGTTACAAATACTCTATTATGAATGATTACGGTAGCATAAGCAGATTAGTCCGAGGTATTCTCAGTGGCTTTTTCGTTTAATTGGTGTCCATGTAACACATTTTTTTACCTGCATGTGTCGTGTAGTATTTTCGGATATTATAATGTAACATCAACTGATAGTTTTTCGTAATTACGACGTCCTACTCACGTTATCCAATCAATTAGCATTCTTAAACCTCTCAGTCTTTATCGTTTTCAACTTTATACCTTATAAACTTGCTGCAATTGATTTTTCTTCCTTTCCTTACTGAAGAGCACGGAAGGAGGAATATGCTTTTGCTCGGCTTCCGTCTAAGGGCACGTGCGAAACGGAAGCTGAGCTATCTCTTTGCTTTCGACCCCCCTCAATAATTCTCATTTATTAGATTTTACAACATAGTTCATTAATCTGTTTCAAAGATTTTATTTGCAGTCTTCTGACACGTCGGCAAGAAGTAGCGAAAGTGCTAAATGCCCCCCCCCCAAGCCGAAGTAAGCTAAAACCTGTGACCATACTCGATTGAACACTACCTGAGGCTTGAATGTGCCCATTGAGATTCAACTGCGATCGGTTTCCAAACGGCTGCCATGCTCCCCAGCAAAATAATTATCGACTGGCTATTGAGAATCGCTTTCTTAAAAATGGTATCAGTAAAGAAGCTCACTAAGGAACATTTTGAACAGAAGTGGCAATCTGGGGGTGTTCTGCTGACGCAGTACTCCAATGAAATGAGTCAAGTGCGCAGTTCACTGCAGTAAATAATTCCTCCCCCCCCACCCTCCAGCTCAGCCACGGCGACTAACAGCCCAAGGCTGCTATAAGCCATCTTCATATCCTTTTTTTGTCTTTTACCACCTATAGCCTTGTTCGCTGAGGATGCTGGAGCGAATTAGGGGGGGGGAGAGAAGGTTGGTGCAGCGTCAGTCCATTTCCTCCGATTGTTGTCGGTAAGACCATCAACAACTGATGACGTACAGGCTGGCACGACGTCAAAGCCACCACTCCCCACCCTCCCTGACATGGCTCAGCATCCGCTGCAAACAAACTGTACCTCTTTCGCGGTCCACTATTCTAGCAACGTGCTTATCTGGTAGGCATTTATAGCGAGTCTGGGACCCGATTCATTAACCTTTCAGCGCCCCTCCCTTCAAAATCCAGTCCAATTTCGATCGTAATTTTCCCTGTGAGCAGAGGTAGCCGATATTTCGCCCTCTGGTGTGCTTTGATCCCTTCAACATCGATATTACATCTGTTTATCTCGGACCGCTGCTACCCACACTTGAGGGCCGGTAACCATGTGCATCAGAAATTACATTCCCGCACCAGATAGCTTCGAAACGGGCCAATTAGTGGACACCTTTTGCACAACGCCGCAGCGTGGACCACCTGCAGAAGGGCACCTCCTCCTACTGGGGAAGTTTGTGCAGAATACGATCTCTCTCAAACTCTCAATACTTCCACTGTCTCCTTCTGGTACGACCCCCCCCCCCCTAACTTTTCCCACTCCGCTGCCACTTTTGCTACAGCTACCCCTAAGAACTGAGGTTTCTCCGAAAAAAAAACTTGGAAGTTCCGAGCACAGGGTTGGTAGGGGGTGCGGGGGCGGGAAGGGAGGGATATAGCGCATTGGAAACAGGTGGAAGTACTGCATCCTTATCACAAGTTATTAAATATGGTCTTTTCAACAACGATAAAGGAAAACTCACATCTCCAGCTCTCGTTCCCAACAGGTAGTCCAGGGCAAAGACGATTACCAGCCGTTCGTCATCAGCCATTTTTGGTAGTGACACACGAGGTCTCACGAATAAGGTGTTCATTTCTGACCTGAAAATAACCGGCACATTTTTTTCTTTTTTTAGACTACTTTGCTAGTCATTTTATGGTTCATTTTCAAGCAACAGTGGTGAGCCGCGTGCAAATAGTTCCGCCTTCTTCTTGTAGTACTACCTTACGCTGTGCAAGTGACTAGTACTTTTCGATGGGAAGCAGCACCACTGGATTTCAGTACCGAGTCGCATCCGCATGCAATATGGCCGTTTTCGCTTCTGACGCTCGGACGTGACAGGGAAGTAGGTGTGGCGCGAC